AAACTGGAGAGAAATTGTTCAGACTGAAGTGAGGACTTATTCCAAGCCATTTTGCAATGCGTATTTCTCAACGAGGGTCCCTACAAAAGTCTGTCTAGCCAACTAATATTTCTCAGTGTGCTGACATCATTACTTGCCTCTAAATTAAAAGGTGCTGCGTTTACCGTGGGGTCTCGTTCTGCTTTATTGCAAGCCTAAACGTAACTTGTATTCAAACCTTACAAATTCACTGGATTCATGAATGCTGAAGTAATCCTAAAAGGGCACAAGAAAGTCAATTGATAATTCTGATTTAATACTTTAAACCTACCCAGGAGCAGATGATTTTAGAATCAAGGTTATGCCTGAAATCCACCACAAACTGCCACCAGGTTGGACCTTCACTAGAACGAAAAACATTTTTGCTACCAGCAGATAGCCCATCATGTCTTGGTTCTCAAACAGCAGTCACCATCTGCTCGCAGGATTTGGGGACGGGTTGAAAAGAATACCTCCAACGAGCAAATGCGACATATAAATGTTTTACAGCAAGTTAAAACATTTATAAAAAACTTAGGACAGTAGAAGGGCCGGCCTGTATTCCGGTGTGCAGTCTGAACTCCCACTCAACCAATCTCTCATTTGATGTTTCGCACATCCGTCAGACAGCATAATCGCACCACTATTAGAAATTGCTACGAACAGATTAGCCAGGGATTGCAAGATACGACAATTTCATCTTAAACAGCAGTTAAGTAAAGGTGCATTAACTAAGTTTCTTTTTTAAAAAATCATCAACACATTTTATTAATTTGGGAAAACGATGAGTTATTTTTAATCGTCTTGCAGGTCACAGGCAACAGAATCCGGCTGGCATGTGCCACAGCAGACTTTTCTGCAGACAGCAAACTGCACCCGTGAGAAAACATTGCGTAGATTTCTGCAATCTCGATAGAAATCATACAGCAGTCACAATCGCTCTGTTCAAAACTTGTCTCTACAGAAGCCTGTGGTCAACACCAACATGTATACAGAGGAGATTTGTAACATGAAAATCTCCTTATGGATTGTAAATTGTTGTCAGTTACGTAGCTAACCAGTTGTGTATTGTACAAATCCTCCCAAACAACACTCCTCCCACAATCAAATTTAATTATAGGTGCAACAGTATTCTGAGACTGAATGGGCGTTTCCATCAGCTTTCTGGTAGAACAAAAGATTCTCATACAAATAAAACAAATGCATTGACACATAGCCTGAGACCTGAAGTTAGCTGGAGAGAATTTGATTTCAAGTATTCAGATAGAGTACAGATGCCAAGGGTCAAAATATCAGATTGCATGTGGTACGTAAACTCCTCAAGATATAGCCTCCATTATCCACTGTAATGGAGGACACCATGGTGACTGACTGAACTACCTACGACAGTGTCCTCAAATCAATCGATCCCACTTCAAACGGATCGTTGGCTCCACACTCCACAGGTTCATTTGCTTGCAAAGATATCACTTCTGCTAAAAATAAATCTTTCTTCTATCTATTTTATCTAAACTGAGTATTGTAGGGTAAATACTGCAAAGGATTTTTCAGAAATTAAGAATTTCCATTTTAGTAAAACACTGAACAAATGTTCAAAATGGTACTTTTTAAAAAGACAAGGCTTCACTTAAATACATTTCTCATTTCTTTTCAAACATTCTCTGGCAGATTTTGATGCTCCATATGTTGACCTCACCCCGCATCATTCTCTAACACAATACCCAGTTTAGGAATGAGCCTCTTCATCAACTCCAACTCCCAATCTCCGGCTCAGTCACCAGCCTCACCACGTGTGCTCTGAACACACCCCTCCCACCCATCTCCATCATCCATTTACAGGGGATAATCATGGTTCCACTGAACCCCATAATCACACAAGCTATTACATTGTACTAAGTATGATCACTAACAAAGAACACTATTTGACGTTTTTATGTAGCCAGAATGACAGGCAGTAAAATCAACTGTTGAACCAAGATCAGCAGGCTTACAGCAGTTTAATGTTGCACACAAAATCAAGAGATAAGACCACTCTCAATTATTTTGAAGTGTTTGCCATCACAGCAGAACCGAGGAACTAAGTTTTTGGTAGCAGAAATTTCTATGCATAAGCTGCCCTCTTACAGGTAAACATTTCAGGGTATCAGCTGGTCACTTAGCCTCCCTATACAGAAAGCTGCTGGAGAATTTATGATCCAGACCAGCAACAATACTGTTTCCAGGTTCTGCCCAGTGTAGCAAAGTCTCTTTGGTTTCAAATTATTAGTTCCAATGTAAAGTGTTCAAAACAAATTCATCACACAAACATGTACAAAAAATTGTGCTTAATGGCAATATATATTATCCAGATCTTATATCAAAACCAACATACATCACAGGGACATGAAAGTGGGTTCCATAAATTCTTATTATAGTACAACTTTGCATCAGTATTCAGTCAGCATTGTACCTGGGAACAGATGGTACAATGATGAAAGAGTCGGACAGTATATATATAGTTCACTGGAGACCTGGGAAAGGTTTGGCTCTTCATCCTCACAAAGGAGAATGGGGTACGTACGACATTGGGAAAACTTCGGATAAGAATTTTTTTTAATAACAATTTTAATAGCTCTAGAGCTGGGAAAATAAGAATTCATTCAGTGCGGAGGAATCATGTCCTGCACATAGGAAGCTTTGTCCACCACACAATTTTGACGCCATGTGTCAGGAATTATACTGACCAGGACTTCAAACACTAATAAGTTAAACAGAACACTGCAAATACATGCAATGTCCTTCCTAAGTCGATGTAGAACTGGAATGTTAATTATCCAGAGAACATATTGGTGGGTGAAACACTGCCTGAGATTCTGCATGACCCAGTCACATTTCCTGACACAAATCTCTAATGTTAATCATATTTAAGGAGTACTTGAATTGAATTTAGCCGTATACAATTTCTACGCTCTAGATTTGGCATATAGAGCTCCTTGTATGTCGGAAGACTAGAGTGCAACATTTTGGCTCTTTTTCAAAGAAGCAGATGCAACTGAAACCTGACACTGCCTAAAGAGAGTCACGTCTGGCTATACACTTTTCCAGTTACCTACATTAGAGGGTACAATTGCAACATTAAATGTGCAGCCATACATCTATGCCAATGACTATGCTTTGCATCTTTACAATTGTCACCAACTGTGCAGTTAGTCCAACTGCGGCTCCAAATAGAGGAAATATTCCAGATTGCATTTAATGCAATCTTTGATTCTTGGCCTATGAATACAGTAGCACCGCAAACTCTTTGTTGGCTATGGCCGAAATGCACTTCTGTCACACATGACTGAACACATTTCTATTGCTTCCAAAAGGCTGCCCAAACACACACACTATATTATATGTCTGCTCCAACACTGGTTATCTCGAACACAATCAAAACGTTAACTGATCTTTGAAAAATGCTGGAAGGTAGCTAGGAATTCAGATCTTGGGACCACTGTCGGTAACAATCACTCGCAGTTGGCAAGCAATCCCAGAAACGTCCCCTTTCCCAAACCAATCTAACATGAGCTTGATAGTAAAATATCACAAAGACATGGATAATGAGAAAATGAAGCTGTACACACACTTTGGGTATAAACCTATGGATTAAATTATTTTGTTTTTAAGTCTCAACTACTGCAGAATAAGACCAGAGTTGAAGTAAATAAATTAATTTAACAGGTCTTCTTTTGCAATGTACCTAAAATTACATTAAATGCCACAAACTCAACAATTCAAACACTCAGCCAATATAACTTTGCACCCCACACATTCAAAAATCTTACCTCCTGGATGTTAAGACTTCCTTATAAAGTATTGATTCCAACAAAAAAAATCAAATAGTTACACAATTTGGCATGTAATTCATCTAGAATGTTAATTTAGCATTTGATACTTACACTAGCAATCAATATTCATTTTTGATGAGAGGAAGTGATCAAAAGAGTACAAGAAATTTTAGGATCTTTAGGATTCCATCCACTGGTCTACAATGACCCAATTCCACTAATGCACATTATGCTGTATATTACAGTAATGTCTTCAGTCCCCGCACGTGTGTCAAGGATAAAAACCAACCTAAACACACTAATTATTAAAGAGATGGAATGAACGCAGACAAAATTTCCTCAACACTAACCCTGTCCTTCTGGTTACAATCAAGGCGGCGCGAACCCATTCATCTGGTGGTTAGTTTGTTGTTAATGTCCACACAAACATGTCTTACATTGCTCACAACAAGGGTCCACAAACACACAGGCATCACACCCAAAAAAACCTCTTCCTTTCTCCCATCCTCTCTCCATATACACACAGACACGCACACACACTTACTTCCTAAACCACTTCAAAACACAATGCAATTTTTGTTTGTCAGAGCTTCACAGCAACATGTGCATCTCTACCTCTACAATCATGGGGGGAGGGAGGGAGGGCAGTGTGGGGGTGGAGGTGGGGGGGGGGGGGGGGGGGAGAAGGGGGTCCTTACTGTATTTTGAAGAAGGAAAGGAGGAGGAGGAACCGGCAAAATAAATAAAATGTAAACGCCGACAGTCTGTGTCTGGTTGGGTCCTGAGCGGAGTTTAGATTTTTTTTGCTTTGGGGGCAAAAAAAAAATTTTTTTTTTTTTTTTTAAAAAGTAAAAGAGGGGGAAGGGGGGAAAAAAGGTTAATTACTACAACTGCCATCAGACTGAAGCCACATCACCTCACAGTTAGTCAGGAGAGGAGGAGAGGAGAGAGGGCAGTGTGTGTGTGTGTGTGTGTGTGTGAGGGGGTCCTGAGCTGACTTGAATATTTAAGGCCTAGCGATACACAACCGAGCCTGAGGCTCGAGTAAAGCCCTCAGCGCCACTCACAGCCACACACACACACCCACCCACCCACACCGAGAGAGAGAGAGCCCGGGGAGAGCGGCGGCGCGGGCCGGGCCGGGCGGCACCGCGGGGCTGCCGGTGCCGGTACCTCGCGGGCGGGTGGTCGGGCGGTCGGGATCCCCTCAGTCGCCTCTCGGAGCTTTTTTTTTTGAAGCCGTTTCCACCGGGGCAACTCCTGCCTCCGCGCATGCGCGACTCCCGCGCCCGCCGCTCCCCGCCTCCGGCCCGCCCCCGCCCTCGGCCCCGCCCCCCCCCGGCCCGGCCCCGCCCCCGTTGGCTTGGGCTGTCGCCGCCCCGCCCCACCGCTCATTGGCTGAGCTGGCTGTCCGCAAACTGCACTCCGCGTCCTATTGGTCAGAATGCCCGTCCGTCAAATTAACCCTCCACGCCCATTGGCTTCCCCACCTGTCTGTCACACGAAGCCTCCCAATAGCGGGCTGGTCTCTCACGGGGGGGGCGGGCTGAGAAAAGTCTCAGGGCTCTCAGTGGTTGAACGCTCTGGCCTCTGGGGTCAGGACCATCAGAGGAGGCCATTCAGCCCCTCGAGCCTGTTCCGCCCTTCTGTACGATCTGCACCTCAAACCCAGTTACCCGCCTCTGCTCCTCGATTCCCCTCAGGAGGCTGTGGGACTCAGCTCAGCGGGTGTGAGCTGCCGGTCCGGCTGCTGCCGGGGAAGCGCTGTGGTCCTGTTTTCAAGGGAACGTTAGTTAAAAGATAATAATAATAATAATAATCCTCGCATTTGATATAGCGCTTTTCACGTCGGGAGGACGTCCCAAAGCGCTTCACAGAACACACTGTAAAGTGAATTGACTGTATATTTGTGGGCGAACGCGGCAGCCAATTGCGCACAGCAATGTCCCACAAACAGTCGTGGATTGAAAATGACCAATTTATTATTGTTTTTGGTTTTGGAGGGTTATTATTAGGCTCTGTGTGGAGTAAGGAAACTTGCCCAAGGTTTCGCCCTCTGCCTGGAATTGAACTCAGGTCTCTCACTTGCAAAGCGAGTGCTCTAACCGCTGAGCCACAGGACTCCACAAGATACAACGGGTGCAATTCAAAGCGATTCGGAATCCTCGAGGCGCTGTTGACGTGGCCGGGCTGACTCCCGCCACTGTGCTGCGGACCCGAACGGGTGACCGCAGTTCTGTCTGAGCGCTTGCCATCGTTTGGGATGGTACAGCGCCTTCACGTCACTATGTTCAACACTAAATATCGGGTTCCACCCACAGCTGAAGACCCGTTGCTGTTCCGGACGCTTTCGTGTTCTGAACGCAGGTTTCACTGGAAAATAAGCGACACTCATTTCCTACCAAATGCTTAAGAAAGAGCAGGGAAGCTGGACACTTACTCAGAGATAAGTTAGGAATGTTGATAGAAGCTTATTGATCAGTTGGCATTCTCAGTCTTCAAGGGCCGAATAAGCAATTATGGAAAATGATCCACAAGAGCGCGATTTACTGACATCCACTGAAGACAACGGAAATTAGATGGTGATACACATTAAGAGTGAAGGGGGAAGTTAGCGAAGTCGACAGAAACAGCAGATGTTGGTGTGGGACGAGTTCGGAGAGAGAGCGACACCAACACACAACGCGAGAAAAGCATCAAACTCCCAAGAATTGTAGGGAATCCTCTGATCAGCGGCACAAACACTGCACTCAGTGGCTCCCCCTTAAGGCATAACTGAGAACAACACCTCATTACATGGAAGGCCATGAGCGTCTCATCAGCCTACACGACAGGGCCACTCACTACGTGTGACCAATGTTCACCATTTATAATCGCCCGGATTTAATATCCGGATTATCTGCCAAGGAATTTAAAACTGATTAAACCATTCAGAAATGCAATCAGAGGGAAAGAGTGAAAGCTCCAGTCCAGTCTTGCTGAAATAATGGTTATCAACTGGTAATGGTCATTAGTCAACCAAGACACAACCACCTTGGGAAAACTGGCAAATGGACAAATGTCTTATTTGACACGTCTCCAACAATGCGAATACAAATCATTCAACGTCAGCCTCGGTCCACAATCAGCAAATCCTCTATTGTAAAATAAACAATTATCAGTCAAGATTGGGGTTTAATTTGGTTCTCTCGGTGAAAGGTTCATCAACCATTAAATTAGGCTTACTTATTCCTGCCTTTGGCCAGTTGCATACCATAAACCCAGGTCTATGCTTTAGGTGTCGAGAGTGATTATCTTATAGTTCTGTTCACTCACTTTAATTGAGGTTTACCACAAAGTAGCAGATTAAACATTCGATCCAAATAATTAAAATTGAGTGTTCCAAGGATGTTAGCGGAAGCAATTTTATTAGCATCTGTCAAGGTACAATTTTACAAGAAAGAGATACATCACTTTTATGCCACAAAAACAAATTTAAATTATTACGCATCAGTTTGAACAATCGAGAGAGTTCTGATGAAAGTTAAACAGGTTTCTGCCCCTACAATGGAGAAAATTTAAGGTATAATACTTCATAGATTTAAAACTGTTTAACTCACAAAACATTTCAAAATTCAAAATGGGTAAACATTGCAATAACAAAAGTTTTTAAAAGTGTTTTCAAAATGGTAACTGTCAAATGTAGGATAAATACACCTCCAGACAGTTTGAACATCTCTCTTTAGTAGCTAGAGGTGACAATATTTTTTTCTATAAAAAGGCCACATTGGTAGTAGGAAAGACATCATAAATGTAGTGCATCTGTACTGACATATAGTTAAGACATTTCTTTGAAGATAGTGTAAATTAAGGCTGGCAAAAAATAGTTCACACTATACTTTGCAAACAATATAGATTGTGCTGGAAAGCTACTTTGCCCATCCGTGTGGTTTCTATGAAGCTAAACTGTTATTACCATGTGCTGTGCTACAGGACAGACAGTAGAATGCAGGTTCATGTTTGGAATGTCTCGCACTGGGGGCTCTGAGTGTGAAGAGGAATTCGCTCAGTGGAGAGCAGATGTTTCTGTGCAGGAAGGAAGTCCAGACAGGAGGAGAGCCTTCCCTGGTGGCTTCAGTGAAGCTGCCAACATCAGTCCATGAGTGACATTAGCAAAGACTGACAACAGGTTCCATGTCCATCCATATGGCTGGAGATTACCCGGTGAGTGTTGGGCTTAGTTAGAGCTGTCACTCCCATCTCCCCCCCTCCCCCACCCCCAAAAAAATAATAAACTGAAATGGGGCCTGCTAAACTTTCTGCTACACTTTCATAATTTTAAATTATTTTCGCAAGTGGGATAGAAAACAGCATGAAATATTGCAAGAATAATATATTTTAGAGACCTAAACATTTTCACGTGAAACATCACATAATTCCCTTACACAATTAACACTTCATTTGTAAACGTCAACAGTGTTTGCATTTTTTTGACCATACAAAAAACAAGAAGAGTACACATACATCGTGAGAATTCTTAATGACTGAAAGTCCAGAATAAGGCCACTTGATTGGATGACGGACAACGCATCAAAGTGTGTGTAAAAAAAATACACAAACCCCTTTAAGCTTTCTCTTTCAACATAATACGGGACTTACCACATTAAGTGCACATCACCCAGTGCAGCTCATTCCTATCTGCAAAACATCCAACCTATAATCGTGATAACCCGCTCGCTAAACAACCACTTAGCATCTTTCTGAAAACCTTCAGAGAGGCAAATTGCTGGAATTTTTGAGAAAACACTTTTCAAATTCACTTCTTTACAACATAACTATTCTGCACAATAAACACAGCACTCTGGGTAGACATACCTGGACACAAAAGAGTGCAATTTGCATATATATATACACACACACAAACATAAAATAAATGGACAAGTTAATGTGTTTGCTAAATGTAGTGAATTTGATCTTAAGAATAGAATAACAAACTGAACCTCAAATAAGAGAACCAGATTCTGGATTTCAATGTGCAGCTGCAGTTCCGGAAGGGTTAATGGGATAATTACCTGTTTAATGCAAAATACAGAACACTGCACGCTGTGTAGTGTATCTGGTCAAATAACAAGTTACCACATAGTCACACATGGGGAAACGGCAAGTAATATGGCAAGTTTGAAGACTATGTTCCCATCATCTAATAAGACCCACATCACGTCAGTTCAAGGATAAAATGGCGTTTAGTGAAAACCAAATTAACAGATCTGAGTTAAGACCCCACCGCCCCACCCCTTTCTAAAGCAGCACAGAATGGGGATAGCACTGGTTAAAACATTTAGTAAGGAATTCATTCTGCAGAATTTCCTTGCATCTGGCTTTGCACTTAGTGTTGATCGTCAACTTGCAAAGTAAATTTGCTTCTTCCATGCATGCTTGTGGATTCCAACAAAGTGAACTGAAATGGTTTCCCAGGTGTTATAATGAGGCTGCGGAACCCGAGGAGAATCCAGGTTCTCGCCCTTTTCATTCACGCTCTGAAAGATAATTCACATTTAGGGGCCAGAGCGCTACCTGGGAAGGGACAGGGAGAGCTATTGCTTTGTCACATAAACTCATCATAATTTTTCCAATTGTTTTCTGGGCCATTTACACAATTCAAAAATGACAGCACAAGATGCTTTAATGCAGCACCAGGCACACAAGCTACCGTAGCAAGATGTGATACATTCTTTCTGGGGAAATTCATCAATAATTTGAAAGGACTTTTCTACTCTCGTGTATGTTACAGAGGACAGACCACACGCCATAGTGTGACACAAGAAGATACCCATATGCACAACAACAACTGCCATTTATATAGCGCTCCTCACGAAGGGTAGCGTCCCAGAGCACTTATGCACACAGTTTGGTATTTCCCAGCTTTCCCTCAATGGTGCAGTTTAATGTCGCGTTGCTGGTCACAGGCAGCCTGGGAGGCGGCTTGGCTTAAATACACAATTCTGCTCTCACGCAGTCGCTGTATTTAATGCGCCACTCACTGCCCTCGATCACTCTATCCCCAAATCCCTGAAGACTTGGTTCTGCACAAAAAAATCTGCTGCCAGGCTGTCAGACCAGAATTTAAGATGAACTTCCATTAAAACCCACACTAAAGTAATAAGTAAAACACTGAATACAGAACTAGTGTGACCACTTCCCACTTTAAAATAAAATCTTTCAAAAAATTAGATCAACACACAATCGTTATAATTGAGGCCTTCAATTTAAACTTTTCACGGTTAAAGTCTCTGTTCTCTGCCCCAAAATCATTGTGTAGAAAGTATTCAAAAAGGCCCTCTTCACCATCAAAATATTTGTGGACATCGGAATGCTAATTGATGCCAGTGGCTATTTCCAAGGTAAATTACTGTACACAACACTAGGGCAGGAAAGTGCAAGCAGAAGTTCTTAAAATCATCTGAAATCTTTCAGTTACTACATTTCTGATCTCTTATCAGACAACACTGCAGTCTAAAAACCTATCATCCTTCTGCAGATTTCCAATCAGAAACCTTGAGGAATGAGGCACTTCAGATCATTAGGTTTGGCAGCTTAGAGACAAAGCTTACAGACAAATACAGAAAGGCATATATGGGAGGAAAAAAATCAACCAAATACATACATATATCGCTGAGCAATTTATTGATTGGTCCCTTGTACAGTTACCAGCTGAAATTAAGGTAAGCAATTAAGTAAAACTTAATTCCTCTCACACTCTGAATGAGTTTCGCTCCTTTAGAAAGGTAACTGCTACAATCTTCCCACACAGTAGCCACGCTTCTGTTGGAAGTGACTATGGACGCTGCACTTGCTCATTTAACACACTGGTCAGTTCCCCTCACACTTCCTGACCTATCAAGTTGGATTCCAACACACCATTGGGATACTGAGATGGGTGAAGTGGAACTGCCTCTCTTATATCGTTTGGCAACTGATTCTCAGCAAAAGAGTATGGAAACTTTAGCCCGAACACTTCAAAACAAATGTTTTTCACCTGAAGCTCAGGACATTCAGCAACTTTCCAGTAACATGTTCTAGGTTTTGGACAACATTTGGTTCAATAATAATCCAGAATTACAGACTCCACTGCACACTTTCCCTACAGAGCAAGGCACTTGGGTGAGGAATGTTTAAGAAAATCAGTTTAAGTAAAAGTGCACATGTGGAACCGGCAGTCACTGATTAGAAAGTTTGTTAAACCGAAAATTAAAAAAGTCTTTCTTCCTATTTTGAAGTAAAATATTTTTTCCTGGAATTTGTGACTGTTGAGGGGTACAGTGCAGTCTCTATAAATGTTTTACATTAAGATAACATGAAAAACAATGGGCAATATCTCAATTGTCCAGCTAGTTCACACTGACCAGCCACGCAATATCCAATTATTTACCATTTAATGGTAGACTGTTTCTTTCAGTGTAAGGCCAAGCAAGGTTCCCCAAATACAGACAGAACTGATGCATCAAAAACTTACCCTGTGATTGAGATTCCAACAGAGTTATTAATAAAACTATTTAGTGATAACATTTCAAATCCAAAGTGCACTTGTAGAGCAACTGTGTCAAAGAACAAATAACGTTCAGAAGAAGAACATTTTCCAACAATTTGTGTTAAAAACATCACATCTTATGCAAAACATATGCAGCGTAAACAAGAGGACAGTACAATAGTGTTTCAGGAGCCATTGTAACACTGATCATCTCTTAGAACTGTCAATTATTGCTCTGCAGAATCCCAATGGCTGTTGTGATGTATTCCCAATAGACAAAGCATTACTTGGTAGACTCCAATTCCTATTTGAGGTCAAGCTGGACATACACTGAATCTTACTGTTCTCCCTAGGGCTGTGCCAACCCAATGTCTTGCATGATCACGCATCTTATTGACAATGAAAATGATTTACTGAAGATTTCCAAACATAAAACCATCAGAGTAACAATCCCAGGGTCCTGCTTTAATTCACATCCTGCATCTTATCTAACTTACTGTCAATATACATATTGGCTGACAAAATATAAACGAAAGACTGAAGTTAGATTGAATAGCTCCTTACGTCAGTGAGATGTGTGTGATATTCCTGGTATAATACATCCCTGGCTGAGGTGCCACCTGGTATAATACACCATTTTTATTATAATGCAACAGAATTTCATGTTGTGCCTGTGCACAATGATGATGCCGTATAATTTGCACATGTCTTTTGGGGTCGACCAGATCTAAGCTGGGACATGCACCTGAACCTGAATAGGAGTCAATTTAGCGCCTGGCCCTTTTCCCCATTTCTACCACCACTATTCAGGACCCCGCATGCCGTTGTACATGAGCTCATGATCTCATCCACGTTGCCCATGTGATGGCCTCACAAGTGCCACGGGGGGAACTGAGCGATACTGTGGCACAATTATGTAGGCGGGTAGGCAGATTTCCTGGGCTTTGGCAAATATTAATGTACTGACTGATATGTTTGTAATAGAAATAGACATTATGCAAGACGGTGTAGAAATACACCACACCACAAAGGCTTGAGAGGAACAAGGAATGGAGGGCAATAGGATGATCATAGGGTAGAAGACAATATAGAAGGCCAATAATCAGGACCCAGGATTACACAAGTGCGATCAAGGCAAGAGAAATTGTTGGGAAGCTCAGATGTGGAACACACTGGCAGTGAGGAGGAAGAGCATAATATTGCTGCAATGACATCACATAGAAGGTGGTTTATAGCAGTGGGTTTGACTGCATGGATCAATAGAGATAAAAATGTCTATTTATACACCTGTGGGTTGGGATCTGGTATCAGTACACAGACAGACCTGCAGTCGATGCAGGACAACGTCCAGAGTGAGAGATTAAAAATATAATCCCTGTTTTATCACGTCTTTGAGATGTCGCAAAGTGCTTCACAGGATATACTGAAAAGTGAATTGACTGTATATTTTGTGGGTCAAACGCGGCAGCCAATTGCGCACAGCGTCCCCACAAACAAATCTGAGCAATTATCAAAATGTGATGGAGGTGGATTTAGTTGATTAATAGGAGCGGGACATAGTGAGTGGGACATAGTGAGCAGACATCAGTCAGCACAGCCTCTCTGCCATTTGGAACATTGGCATTTTACTGCTGGGATGGGGCAAGTTAAGGCCTAGAGAGATCATCTTCACATCAAACGTACAAAGAGAAACCTCAACTTTTAAAAGTCGCTGGTTCATTTCGGGAAGTGCTCTGTTCACAAATCCCTTCATTTTGCGCCACATTTCAGGTCTGGATTAAGTACTAAGTTAGCAATGATCATTGACCAGGAAAAGAGCATAAAAACTAATTTTCCTCGTGCTGGTACCCAGTATTCCAAGACCTCTGTAGTACAATATGTTCCAATAAAATATATCCTAGCTTTCCCACCATGTAGCACAGTATTTCTAGATTCTACTGAGAATTGTTATCAAGTTACAATTGAAATGTAAAACAAGCGATGGTTACAATAAGCTTCCGTCCCCTCCCCACCAGGACTGAGCCCTAGGACCACTCGTTGCTATCAGGGTATCTTGGGACTGTGGGGTATTGGGGTAAGGTGCTGCCGGTAACGGTTTCAAAGGCCAGTTGCTTAGCTGGCGGATTTCTCCATGAGCCGGCGGACCACTCCTCCTGCGCCTTCTGGAAGCTTCCGCCACCACCTCGATAGATAGAGTGCACCTGGGGAGTTAAATGACAGCAGTAAGTATACGGTTCCAGCTTCACACCCCATCAATGGCTAAGAAGTGGAGTAAATAGGCCACAGCCACGAGAATCTACTGTGGTTTCTAATACCATTGTTCCGTTTTTCAACTGCCAATAGGCCTGAGTAACATTGCACAGGTATTGTGTGAATGCTGCCTCCTATGTGCAGACTTTGTGGCTGAGTAAGTGACAAAACTCTCACGATGAAGTAGCCTCGAGTGTTGGGACAGTTGCCACTCAGCACCTCCTCAGCAGCAGTGCTGAGGTAAGAGGGGAAAACAAAAGCTTACACTCGTGTGACTCAGTGTATTAGAGCTGCAGAGCCAGACCACAGAGCCGATGGGCTGCATCGCACCAATTCTCATTTAACTGAACAACACAACAGCACAAAAAAACTCTCTGCGTTGGGGAAAGAGCAAAATGAAGAACAGTACAGCCAGAGCCTAATATTGCACCAGATTGCATAAATGAACTCCCAACAAGAATTATTGCCTTTCAGGGTGGAAAAAAATTCACAATGTAACATTAAATAAATAACACTGAAATGTCTCAAAGGGCTTCGCACACGATTGCAATCAAGTGTTGTGACTATCAGTAGGAAAGAAAACAATCCTTTTTTTTACCAGGTTTTCACTAAAAACAATATTTGTGACTGGTGTTTGAGGTGAGCCACGAGGTGGCGCTGGTCCCTCAAATGGGAATATCCCATCTGGGAGGAAACCTTCCAGCAATCCCGATCCTAATAAAAAAAACAGTGCTCTGTTGGTGAGGTGAACAACCAGTTTATCTGGAGGATTGCTGGCCCTCACGTCCACCCAGAGACACGTCCTTTGCTTTTCCAATAGTGTCATGGATCTATTTTAATGTCTACTTGACCAGTCATTCCCCAAATTAGATGGGGGTGGGGAGAGAATGTTCTTCAAGTTAGGTTTTATCCTTGAAGAATTCTATTCTTGTTGATAAGAGGTTTGAGATTAAATGTCCATTTGCCACCCTTCCCTAAACTTACAGCTGTAATAAATCCACCCTCGCTCCTCTGTACAAGGTGACAAAAGGTCAGAGGCGGTTTACAGCACCTGTAGCCAGTATATTAGGCCGTGCCAATGGTTTACTGGGCAAGGTTCAATAGCTGCTTGCAATAGGTAAACAGTGACACCAGTATACATGCGCTTCAAAACACCAATTTGCTTTCAAAATGGCTAATTATTTCCAGAGAGTAGAGAAATACAACTTACACGAAGTATAATAAGAATACTCAAGATGGTGACTGCTGAGAACATGACAGCTGGGAAGAGCATGACCACAGCAGCGCCCACATTCGATGAGAAGACACCTACAGCAACGATCCAACCACTGAAATAAAAGAGAATTCCTCAATAACAACAACTTGCATTTATACAGTGCCCTTCCTGCGGGGGTAGCGTCCTGGGGCGCTTCACTGAGATATTTAATTTAAAAATAATCTAAATGCACAATTGTACAAATTACAAGTCACAGCCATTGTCAGCAAATAAACAGACCACCACACACCATGTCCCACAAACAGTCGTAGCTGAATCATGGATTATTATTAGGCGTGTGGAGTAAGGAAACTTGCCCAAGGTTTCGCCCTCTGCCTGGAATTGAACTCAGGTCTCTCACTTGCAAAGCGAGTGCTCTAACCACTGAGCTACAGGACTCCAAAGTAAACAGACCACCACACATTGGCTGAATCATGGATTAATATTATTATTATTATTATTAGCAGGACTCCTCTATGAGCACCAAGATTGCCACCTAGTGACAGGGATCAGCTACTGCAGCAGCACAATGCAAAGCCCACACAAAAACACAGCAAAGCCACCGGTCTGGTCGGCTAATCCTCCAGATGTTTTTGTTTGGCTAATTTGGCTTTTTCTCTCCTCCCTCGTTAGGCTCTGACTGCTGCTGTTCAGCTCTACAGGGCCCTGATACTCCTTGGCTCTGGATGAAGCAGGGAATGAACGCAGGAGTCAGACACCACTCACCCGTAGGAATGATCAGTTTCTCCACAGATTTGTTTTATGGATTTACAAGAGGAGTTGAGGGGATTACACCTTCATTAGCCCCTATTCCCTGCGCTGCACAACCCTGACTGTGTGTGAGTTTCCGCTTGCGAGGTAGCAGTTAGGAACTCACCAGGCTCCCCACCCCGAGAAACCGATGGCTTGTAAAGCCATCAGCACAACCTGGGCCCCGAAGATGAAGAAAAATGCCATGAAGTTGAAGGAGCTGTCAGACCTGTAAAACAAGCGGCAGCGCCTCACTGAGAAGCTTAGACACAGGTCGAAGGGACCTAAAAACAAACATCTTTAACTCTTTAAACAATCTTACAACGTCACAAATATTTACCGAAATGCTTTATAAATAGGACGCAGCCAGCAGAGGTAGGAGCAAGGGTTGAAGAGCACCAGCCACAGAATTGCCAAGCCAAAGTTGATGGCATTGCCTCCTGCGATCAGCCAGGCCAAACAGCCGATCAGGTTCACTACCAAGGTGATGCTGTACACTGAACGTAAAGAAAGGTTCTGTTACAATTAAACATAACATCTACACAAATCATTAAATGTGTTCAATTAATTTTTGCACGTATTAGCTGAGAATCTGATCAACAACTACAACAACTTGCATTTACACAGCACCCCTCATGCAGGGTAGAGTCCGACAGCGCTTGGCGGAGCACGATGCAGAGCCAGGGGATGGGGGAGGTGACCGTAGGCACGATCGAAGAGGAACGTCTTCAGGTGCGATCTGAAGATGGGGAAGGAAGAGGCAATAATCCCAGCATTATCTTGTTGGGATACAGAGTACTTACAGATCCACAGGTGGTAAATTCTTTTCACTAGATAGCAGTGCTCTGATGGGATCTCCTCTTCAAAGTTTTGATAGAAGCAAGGCTTCAGTGGAATGAACTTTGGTAAAGGGGGAAAATTGTTCTGTTTTTCTGGGGGGAAAAAAAAAGGAATGACTAAATAAAAGCTGATAGGAAAACCGCGTTACCTCGTCTGAATCATTTCCTCTGTCTCGCGCTGGGATTGGATCATTCATCCAGGAAAATTAAACTCGTAAACAGTATGAATGAGCAGCAACGGGAATGGGAAGCAGACATGATGGGAAAGAACTGAAATAATAATGGGTTACATAGCAAGAAATCAAACACATTTATTCTTCTTTTAAAGAATAAATTATGTTTCTTTCACTGGTCCACAAGAAATTTCCAACAAATAAAACTGTGAGGATTTACGGCATCAGTACTCCTACTATCCCGTCAGTAGTACTGTACCAAATGCTCCTCTTCCCAGCAGCAGCATGTAAGTTAACCTCATCGCTGATGTTGCCCTTTTAATTTATTTAGCCTCTCTTGTCCATTTTGGATTAATTTACGTCATCCTACCATCCATGAGATCGAGTCAGCCTAAGAAGGCACAGTGATAATGATTGACTGATGTAATCAGATACAAGAGCTGATTGGAGGCCTCAGAAATACAAATATTGGGTGTCGAGATTTGGGCGACGAAAGAAGATTATCAGTGAAGAGAACGAAGGAACAAGTTTTAAGACTTAGTTAGTATCATTACTGACTGAATCAATGGAGGTGCAATCTCTACGATTGGACTAGCCACACTTATTGATAAGTCCTATCGGGGCTAATTGAAAGAAGAAAAAACACCCATGGTCAAATAAAATAAAGTGCCCAGACTCACCTCCCGACAAATCAAATAAAAAGCCATCAAAATGAAATATTTGCACAGTAAAAGGGAGCGCTGAGGTCATAGACTAGAGAAAAGGCAAGTGCAGTGAAAGTTGTGTCCGTAAGCCCAGTACCAGCCACAAGACAGAAGAGATTAGACAAGGACCATGGTTATCGTCAGGCTCAATCCAATCAATCGGGGTGGGCATGGAGCCACTCCACACTATAATGTGACAGTCCCAGAGACAGAATGTTCACGTGATGTACAGTGGCACTTACCAGTCATTTCTTCAGTTGGCTTGTTGTGTTGTCCAGTTCTCTACCAGCCGATTCTGAAAAGCAGGGTCATTGTTACATATAAGAAAGCGGGACTGGGACATGCTAGATGTCCGAATAACTTGAATGTTTTAGCAACCTATAAACCTTCCCAAGATAGTCAACTCACCAAGGAGTCGATCCTTACACCCCACTGATCTCTCCCAACACAGCATCACATGTCTCCTCTTGGCTAACAAATAGATGCCCAGAAAGGGAGGGAGAAAAGAGAGGAAGTATCTGAACAAACTACCACAGTCTAACTCATGAGGCATTGTTACTGTTTAAAAAGAAAGCAGAATTTGAGCATTATTTGTGGTTAAAGAAACCAGGCTGCTGAACATACACAAATTATTAGCTCTTTGGCTGCACAGGAAAGTGCACTGAAATAGCTATTACGAATATTGATTTTCTGCCAACATTTATTCTGCTCAACTTTAATTAAGAGTGTTTTTCAGAATATTGTAGCTTTAAAGACAGATCTGTATGCCTTTCACTTTCAGCTGGAAACGTGCTATTCCGACATATCCAAATCCTGTACTTGTTCACCAAACACTGTACAATGGGAAAACAGGATTATGTTTCTCAATTTACTCCAACCCTACTTTGAGATGAAGTGGAATATTATTTTGCCAGCTGAGAAGAGTGTGAAAAAATCCTCTTGGAAAAGATCTATAAATAATAATGGTTGCATTTGATATAGTGCCTTATCACGTCTTCGAGATGTCTCAAAACGCTTCACAGAATATAGTGTGAAGTGAACTGACTGCATATTTTGTGGACGTAACGCAGCCAATTGTGCACAATAGTGTCCTACCAGCAGTCATGGATTTATTCATTTTTAGACTTTTTGTTAAAATGCAGGCTGATCATTCTTCACAGCAGATAGTTCTGACGTTGCAGCTTTAATTATGAGACCTGAAGTATATAAGATTTTGAATTATATTTCAATATTCAGAGTTGCTACACTGACTCTCAAAGCAGGATGGATAATTGTACCATTCAGAAAAGATCTTTGGAAAGTAGCATCTTCTGTAATCAGAGTTTATAATGTTGAACAGGACTGAATACTGCGTTCCCATTAATAGACCAACAGAAAAAGAATGAGGCACAATCTCACAATGCTGTACGAAAAGCAGCACAATACAATGCTTGCCGTGGCTCCTAGTACAGCAACCAACAGCTCTGTTACTTGGTAATTGCACCTCATATGCTTCATTCTTCCTTTCAATGTGTAACCTGAGCTAATTACAAAAGCTAAAAGGAATGGGACAAAAGAAAGAAGCTAGCTCCATATATAAAACAGAATTATTATTTGGAACATTGCAGATTCTTTTCAGATGCTGCTGCCTCCAGCTCAGTCCATTTCTAAACATCTCCAAATAATTCTGCAGAAGGTATGGAGCACAGAATTGTCAAACAACAATATGGTACTAAATTATGCTTTTCACAGAATATGTCTTGGCAAGAACATCGGGTGAGGTATACAAATCTAAAATAGACTGCGCATGTAGCTGCAACATATAAATATATATCAAATGCAAGGATTTTTATGATTATTAATAGACACAGTCCTTGCCATATACCATATATCTCTTCAGCTGTCAGTCAATTCATCTCCACCCTGCCATTTTAGGTCATGTATTTTTAATAAATATATATAAAAAGCATTCAAATACTTTTTGAAATACTGTGAATTTACAGCATATTCTGTGAAGCGCTCTGAGACATATCAAAGACATGATAATGCAAGGATTATTATTATGTTTTTATTATTAAAAATACATGGAAACTCTAACTGCTGTTTAATAGCTCACAAGGTTATAAACCACAAAGGCCTCCTGTGTTAGCATTTTTAGTTTCCTTGCACATTTAACCACAACAGCAAGTGTTGATTTTTCCTGATAAAAGGGAAGGAACAATGGCTGCAGAGAAGCAAATCTAAATCAGCCAGTTTGACAGTTAGCTTCCTGAGTAGCTTACAAGATAATCATGAATATAAATGGGGAGCTGTAATAGGAATATCAAGTTCTCCTGTAACTGAAATGAATCGGTTACTTATATTATAAATTCTGGTGACCAAGTATGCTATTACGCATTATTATTACAGAATAACTTATTGACCAGTGTAACATATTTTGCTGGCTGTCCACCACATAAGTAGATGGCTCGGCTGTTTGTACCAGTGCGAGCAATATTTTAATTGTTATGTTTATTCCTTGGATTTGGAGCACTTTTAACGAATTCTGCTACATCGGGCAAAGTGAATCTAAATTGATGAAAGCTCCCCTTTGTGATTACTAATTTAGATTGTCTTTACGATGCACGTAAACACAACAGCGTAAACACAACCTGGTACTTTCCGCAATTCCACAGTGATTCACCATCAACCATGCAATATAAACAAACACATTATCAGACGTCCCGCCGCCAACATCACCTACAGGGGAATAGTTTCAGGAGCGAAGTGATTAGCATCTGCACTGGATAAACACACAATTAATCCATGGAAGCATTAATAAATAATGAAAAGGATTTGTTTCTCAGTTAGTTTTTACTTATAGTGTGATCTATGCTCCCGTATACAAATGTAATCTTACTGTTATTGTTGTTGGTCTGATCTCTGGATTAAAAGGTCATCAACTGTTGAATATAATTTATTCACAGAACTAAATGTCCTTGGATCCAGCACATAAGCATCACCTAGCCTGAGTTTCATGTTAAACAGTCTAAAAGCAGGAATAGTGCACAATGACTTGTCAGCCTTACAACCACTGGAGATTTCAACTCCAGAGTCAGTCTCACACAGTTTGGCTTCCCATCATGAGAGAAAAAAACACTGGAATGTTAGAAAATGCCAGTAACAGCTTTTCCCTGCATTAGTAGGCTGGTAAAAACTCCTTGCTGATACTCTTTTGACCACTTTCAACATTACACTGACGTCATCAACAACAACAACAACAACAAGATTACATTTGTATAGCGCCTTTCATGTCGGGAGGACGTCCCAAAGCGCTGGACGACAGTGTGCTCCACATCCAAGGAATAAACGTAACAATTAAAACATTGCTTGCGCTGGTACAAACAGCGGACCCATTTACTTATGTGGTGGACAGCCAGCAAGATATGTTAACACTGGTCAATAAGTTATTCTGTAATAATAGTGTGCTATTATTCTGTAATAATAATAAGTGCCACTGATCATTAGCCGCTCATTTGTACGCTGAGGACAGACTCACTGCTTCTTCATACAATTGACTGAAACACAATCTCTCCTAAGATCAAGGATGAAACTTAATCCAGACCGTGTGTCTGCACTAATGGCCACAACGGGGGAAGGGTTGAGGGAAGAGTCCGGATGGAGGTGGCGGAGTGGGGAGGCTTTTTCGAGACAGATCCGGGGGGGTGGGGGGGGGGGGGGGGCGGAGGGCAGGCGCTGGAGGGAAAAAAAATTCAATCCATGACTAAGCGTTTCAAGACACTCCGCTGTATAAGTGCGAGATGTTGCTGTTGCTGTTGTTGACTGTTTGTCGCTGCCGCGGTTCTCGCCCACAAGACGCACAGTCACTACACTTTGCAGTGTATCCTGCGAAGCGCTTTGAGACGTCTCGAAGACCTGATCAGGCGCCGGGTCAGGGGCGAGGATTATTATTATTATTATTATTATTTAGGTGTATGTGGGGGGGGGGGGGAGGCGCAGTGAGGGGAGGGGCGGTGGGGGGGGGGCGGTGAGGGGGGGCAGTGAGAGTGGGGGGGGCAGTGAGGGGGGGGCAGTGGGGGGGCAGTGAGAGTGGGGGGCAGTGAGAGTGGGGGGCGGTGAGGGGGCAGTGAGGGGGGGGCAGTAGGAGTGGGGGGCGGTGAGGGGGGGCAGTAGGAGTGGGGGCGGTGAGGGGGGTCAGTAGGAGTGGGGGCAGTGAGGGGGGGCAGTGAGAGTGGGGGGGGCAGTGGAGGGGCGGTGAGGGGGGAATGGCACCTCCCCCTCAGCACCGACCCGGAAAGCAGCCACTGACCCTCCAGCTGACAGTCGCCCCCTCCGGTGACAGGCGCTGACCGGCGCCATGGCTGCGGCCCCCGCGCCGCCTCCGCCTCTGACCGTTACTCACCTCAGCGACCGTTACTCCACGGCAGTCTCTCGCCCCACTTCCGGCAGCCCGGCCCCACGTGACACCCGCTTCCTCCCGGCTGGCGCTGTGCACGCTGGGACATGTAGTTCGCTCCCTGTTGGTTGCACACAGAGACTCCAGCTCCCACAATGCCGAGGGCCAGACACTGGACCACATGGGCACAACTGGTCAATGTAAACATTGGGTTCTTCAAGTTCATAATTAACCCAATGTTCAGGCCTTTGACTGACTTGCTTTGCGCACCTGATAATAATCCCTCAAAAGACAAACAATAACAGATTGGTCGCTTCAATCCACGGCTGTTTGTGTGGGGGACGCTGCCGTGGGCAATTGGCTGCCGCGTTTCGCCCACAAATATAGTCAATTCACTTTACCGTCTATTCCGTGAAGCGCTTTGAGACGTCTGAGAAGACGTGAAAAGCGCTATATCAGATGCAAGGATTATTATTATTATTTATTATTTAAGTTGGATGTTTTCAGTGGAAATCTCGCACCTCATCCTGCCGGATAGTTGTGGGGTGTTCCCCCACTAACAGCCAAAGCCAACACCAAAAAAAAGTGTTTGAATTCAGACTTGTCTCAAGGTTCTTCTCCAAATCCAATTGTCGTGCTGAAAAGCAAGGAATCCTCTCTGGAATTACATCATCAGGATGCCTCCTATTAGAGAAGAGGGTGCTCATTCCATTCCAAGAACAAGGACGTTGTCATGTGTGAATGGGATGCATGTCTGCCACAGCTGGAAACACATACGTGGAACTCTCAAGTCTGGTTTGGAAACTGTTCTGCAATGGGATGGGCTTCCCCAAGCCTCAGACGCCCAGCTGGCCAAAAAAAAATCAAAACCAGACTGGGATTTCCACACGCCCATGGAAATTTCTGTTGGTCTGAAAGGGAGGGCACATCTCTCCCGTGAGGGATAAATCCTGCTTACCTACTGCCCTATAAAGGCTACCCCACAACAGCCAGCTGCCCTCACAGTCTGGCAAGCTTTCAGAAGCAACCTCTGGATTATATTTTGGGAGGTTTTGCTAATGTGATTTGCTGCCTGGGAGGTATTCTCACCCTAGGGAGAACTGAATAGGCACTGCAGTGCAATTAGACGCAGTTTCACAAGAGGTTGCAGAAAGCAAGGTTATGATGATCTCCCTGGATTATTTCATGAAGGCAGATGGGTGTTGAACGTCAAAAATTGCACATGCCACACGGATGGATTGTCATGGTTTCCAAAAGCCACAGGACAGCCCAGGGACTCTGGCTTCTCCGTTTGCTCTGAGTGACGGACAAGTTTGCTGTATTTATCAAGAATGAGACGAGAAAAGACCTTCTGTTTTAAGTTACGCATCAGCCTTCGCTGTTTAAAACAAACTCCCAAAGAAACTGAAATTGATTTTCTTCCACACTCCCGGGATGAAATTGAGCAACAATGAAAGAAAAGATGCACAAATTCTGAAAAACTTCCTTACAGCCCGCAGAGTTGTCAACCAATCGCAACAGCACCACAAGCCACCTTGGAAGGGGCAAAGCGGAGGGATAGAGGAAAAGTGTTCCAGAATTTGAGAGCGTAATGGCTGAAAGCACATCTAAATACAGTTCTACACTTATACTGAATACAATTAAGTATGTCTAAATACCATTATAATCATTTTCCCACATTTTTCAGTTGTCGGTCAGTGCATTGTGTAAAAATCAAACATGGGGTAACAGGACTTTGTAAACACCCTGTATATTTATGTTGATAGTCAAGTGTAGTTCAAGATGTTTTATAGTGAGATGCTTTTAAGATATTGTGCACATCAACCGACAGATAATGAAGGGGACACCCAGGCCTTTGTTATTTTACCCAGTCTTCATAATATATAATTTTATTTTGTGGTTCATATACACATCCTTTACAATAATACATCTATATTCATTCATTATGTCACTTAACTCAACCTTCCATTAAATTGACAATATATTAAAATAAGATTTTTTGGGTCATTTGAAATCCAGACAAGGAGTTTATAAAAAAAATCTTTTCTGATCTTGCTCTGCATTTATACAATAGGTACTTTGTTCCCTCTTAAAAAAAAGAATGACAGTTATACAAGACAAACAAAAAATATAACTATGACAAAATGATAAACAACTTAACCAATATCCTTTCCAAAATTAAACGTACCCGGAAATGTAATTTCCATCGTATGAAATGAGCAACAAAAAGTTCAGTGTTTGCTTTTTAAGCTCTTTTTGGATGCTCATTACATTCACAAGAAGAATACACACAGTGTAAGTTTTTTTCAAATTTTTTTTCCCCCAAAAAAGTGTTGCTAGACACGAAGATCCATGACACAAACTGAGACATAGGGTACGGGAGTGGGGAGAGCTCTCTGACCTCCGCACCAACCCCCACTCCCCCCACACAAAATCAACAAAGACGAGGGATGAGACAGCAAAGGGCCAGCCTCCAAATGAATGATATCTATAAATGTCAAGTTTATATATCTTTTTATATATTTATTATTATTTAGAAAGTGGTTAAACCTGGAATTCAAAGAGCTGACTCAGCGGCAATATGCTTCCAGCTATCCTTCACATAGCAGGAAAGAGGAAAGAGGAATATTTCAGATTGTGTTGTTCCACCCTCTTGAAAGGCTACACTGGCCTTCAGGCTGTCGGTTGCTGGTAAAGCGCTGTGCAGAGAGATTGTCTTGGGAATGTTTTGTTTCACAAGCCTCTCCTGAAAGAACTGCTCCCTCCCATCTCCCTCTCCTCAGCCCCACAGGCTAATGGAAAGGCGTAAAACACAACAAATTCAGCTAATAACTTTCCCCCCCTTTGCTCTCGCTCAGGGTGGGTTTGTGTACAATAACCCCAGCACTGCCCTGACCACGATCAGCCAGTCATTTGGACCAGGGCTGGAGTCTGCCACCTTCCTGGCTGGAATGACTCACTGACCAAGTTACCTGACCATTTCCCCAGACAGTCACTGAAGCCCATTCAGACGTTGCTAATGTGTCTCTGGGCCATTTTAATAGAGAGCTGAGCGGACCGATTGCTATTGTGTTTGAGTAGCAGGCCACAGCCTCCAGGGAAACAATCAGGTCACTCGCTTTCTGAATCACATGAAGTTCTGAGCTCACTGCCTCCAGTTATACTTGACTGAGAGCATTTGAGATTGAGATCGACAGCCTAATGCATTCCCATCAGATGTTGCCAGCCACACACACAGGATGTTGTCCTCTCTGCAAGTCAAACATCCAAACCACATGTTCTTTGCGACTATTTTACGTATGTTCAAGCATGTTTGTAGCGCCATGTGGTGCTATGCATAAACAGCGAGATGTGTGAATCATTGTCATTGCGTGATGAAATTTTCCGTTCCTGTTACCTTACAGCGATTGAGAAATGCAGAGGGTGGATTTCCTATGTTTTAAAAAAAATGGTAAACGCACAGAGAGACAGTTCTTCAATGGGGTGGAGGATGGGTCAGTCTCTCGTATTAGACAATGACGAGAACCAGTGCCCATTCTCGTCAGTGCCCAGTGGCCCCCATGCCCCCTCACCCGCCCACAAGATGAACATTTCATGTTGACGAGCTGCACCAGCGCGATGGTTAGTTTTCCCTGTCCTGTCCTCAACGTGACTGAATCCCAATCGAGCCAAGGTATTCCAATCCCCCGTTAGGGTGGGCTCGGCGCGGAGTCAAGAGTCCGAGGATTTACTTACAAGAGTCCGAGTATTTACATTCTTTTGACTGTGACGGTGATGAGACCATGAGAGTGTGCAGCACATTCAGTCCAGCACTACCGCAGCTCGATGATGCAGTGTCAAACCCGCACTCTCTCACGTTGGCTTCGCTCGGTGGCTCAGGTGTGGCTGGAGTCTGTGTACTGCGTCTCTGTGCTGAACACCTCCCTGTACAGTGGGGGAAAGTTGTGCACTGTCTCTGGATGGAGCAACTTGAAAAGCTGTAACTTGTCCATGTGGAGGTTGCAGACAGACTTTAACATCGAGAGCTTGGACACCAGCTGATGAAGAACAACAGGCGGAGGTGAGATTGGTAATATGACTGACTTTTGGGTCGCTGGATCAACCGCACGCACGCACACACATACACACACACACAAACAGACACACGCGCGCACACTCACATGCACACACACGCAACAACATTTTATGGTGCCTCTCGTATCGCAGTGGCTGAGAGATTGGCCGGGGAAGCGGGTTTGTTTCCTCTTATTCCCTCCTGCGAGCGGCAGGTATTTAATGGCACAGACGACGAGCGTTTTTACCTTTGACAACTTGTCCTCGTCCAGGTGGGTTTTGTGGATAACCTGCTGCAGGGCCAGGTACACCTTGTCCTGAAGCTTCTTCACCTTCCTGGCCTCCGTCAGCCAGGCTCGGTCTGCAGAGAAACACACACACATCGTTACACACACACACACGCGCACGCACGCGCACTCTGAGACATCACTACACACGCGGTTTGTAGCCAGCATCATCCGCCCAATTGGAGTTGAGGTACAGATCAGCCATGATCTAATAGAATGGCGGAACAGACTCCAGGGGCTGAATGACCTCCTCCTGTTCCTATGTTTCCCAGTACAATAATTATTTACATTTATACAGCACCGGAGATGTGACCCTAAAACCCTGACCCATTCTCTCTCCCAGCAATGGTGCTGCTCAGTACAGCAAACAGTAGAACATCATTCACATCACAGCTGTTTGTGGGGACATCGCTGTTTTGTGGGCGAATTGGTTGTCGAGTTCGCCAACAAAACATGGTGCTGCTTATGTGATTAATCTTCATGATAACCTCTTGGTCCTCCTCTCTCAGGTTTACCTGGTGAGAGTAAAACACCGGCTGTGAACAACGCAATCTCTTCTTCCGTTAGCTGGAGACGACACAAGCTCTTGGCCAAGTCAAAGATGGCGATGGTCAGGTCATCACAGCCTGAGGGCAAAGCAAACTGTCAGCTCTCTCCACACAGCCCTCTCCCCCGGCAAAGACTCCTCCACCCGCAGAGAGGCCCCTCCCGTCCGCAGGGAGGCTCCTCCCACCCCCACCGGGGCCCCTCCCATCCTCACTGGGGGCCCTCCCACCCCGACAGAGCCCCCCTACCCCTACAGAGCCCCCCTATCCCTACAGAGCCCCTCCTAACCCTACAGAGCCCCTCCCACACCCATGAGTGCCCCTCCCACCCCCACCAAGGCCCCTCCCAGACCTCGAGACAGAGTTTCACCTGTCAGACCCTCCCTCCCCCCCACCACCCATCTTGCTGAGGTGTTAACCCAAACGTACCCAGTGATTTGAAGATCTGAGCACCTCCGTACTTCCCTTCAAAAAACAGGGTGTTGTTCAGAGGATTATACGCTCGGCACATCCGGACCAACAGGACCTCCAGGCAGCCTGGTCAGGGGGACAGCGACAGGCAGATGGAACGTTCCCCACGCCAATCCCAACACATGAGGATTGGGAATGAAAGATCCGAGCCAAGGTTCCCGATCGACATTCCACACGGGACAGGATTTCAGAGAGAAAACAAGAAAAACAAAGAGGAGATTCTGGTTAACAGCATGAAAGCACTTCACATTTTAAATAACATTCAACTGTCATAAACATGAGCCTTTTGCAAACAGTTCAGATCCACCTCAACTCTCACCAAAACCTTACTACCGGTTTCATCTCCTGAGCCCATCTGTGCCCGGTTCAAAGATAGTTTAAAGATCTCGCTGCTCTATTGGAAAAGAGAAAGGAATTCTCTCTCACTTTCCTGGCCAATAATTCCCACCAGATAAAATCGGTCGCTTGGTCCATGCCTGTGTGTGGGACCGGGCTGTGCACAAATTGGCTGCTGAATTGGCCTGCAAAACACAGTCACTACACGTGACAGGGATTACATATCAAGCGCTTTTATCCACTGACTAACTGCAGGGACCTTGACTTCGTAAAGGGCTGAGATGTTACCCAATGTGAAGGTGTATGTAGAGCTTTAACGTGAAGCCGAACCTGCTTTGAGGAGAATGATCTGGTCGTTCTGACACAGCTCCATGAACCCATTGATCCGTTTAGCGAACTCCACCACATACTGGATTGCGTTGGTGACCTGGCTGGCACACAGCTGCCACATGGCCTCACACGACTGTGGAGACATAGAAAGTACAGGACTGGTCAGGGCTGCACACCCACACTGCACCCCCGCACTGCACACAAGGCTTGAAAATCTCCAAGAGAGACAGTGACACCAATCTTCACAGGCGGAAGGATTTCTTCCAGCAAGATCACCTTACCCAAGGTGACGGCCAGAAAGATTACATTTAAATAGAATTAAATCGGAATAGGAAAGAGAGAACAGGAAACAAACCAGGAGGAACTTGTTTAAGCTCTCTGGGACTCTATCCTGCGTGAAGGGCGCTATATATAAATGCAAGTTGTTGTTATTTATGATTCCGTGGTCATTGCTAAACTGAGGTAATAAATGTTCACCCAAGATGTGGAGAATCTGTGTAATAACATTCAGAATAACTTTCCCAGATCTGCACACACCAGGGAGACAGGAATAGAGGGTCAGAGAGTGGATAATGGAAGTGAGAGAATAAACCCCGACACAGACTAGTTTGGCCGAGTGGCCTGTTTCTGTGCTTCTGTGCTGTAACGCGTTGTGTAATTCTACGCTGGGAATCGACAGGTATGAACAAATAAAGCCGGACCATGAAGAGAGACCGTCTGCGCAGATTAAACTTTGAGGCTTTTACGACTGTGTTTTTCTCTCCTTCATTACTGTGGTCTGTGTAAGAGGATTTGAACGTTACCTTATTCTGAAAGATCCTGATCTCCTCCTGTGAGTAGGGCTGCCAGGCGAGCTGCTTCAGCTCGTCTGTGGTGTACTGACAGGTCTCCAAATGCGACTCCACCACATTCTGTGCCACTCGGTCTGCACGGGAGAGAGGGAGCGAGAGAGAGGGAGTCACTGGGTTATTGAGCTGCTACACAGAATCCTGTAGTGTCATCGTTAGGACATTCGCCTCTCAAGGGAGAAGACTCGGGTTCCATTCCCAGGCGTAGTGGAACCGCAGGCAAGTTTGCTGACTCCACACGCCTCCAGCAGTGAGTAGGAACCTGGTTGTTAGTCGATTGGCGGATCACTCTTCGGGGGTAATAATCCCCCAATTAAAAATCTGTTTGTGGGACATTGATGTGCGCAATTGGCTGCCACTTTTTGCCCACAACTTACACAATCAATCCACTTTACAGTGAATCCTATGAAGCACTTTTGAGCTGGCTCAACAACTTGATAAGGCACTATGCCAAATGCAAGGATTATTATCGTTCATATTATTACAGAGTGAGAGAAAAACGGAGAGGCGGTGAGGGTATCGAGGTGAGAGGATGGGGAATGGGTGTGGTGTTAGGGATTTGCAAGCGAGGGCGAGGATCTGGAAGTGGATGCGCTGGGAGACGGGGAGGGGTGTGTGTTACCTGGTGGGGGGTTGGTGGGGAGAGGAGAGAGAGAGAGTACGTACCGATCTCCAGCATAGACACACCAGAGGTGGCCGACAGCTGACTGTTATCATAGGAGCAGAAGCTGGGCTGCAGAGTGATCTCGTAGACGGATTCCTGCTTTATGTGCTTCAGGCCATTGCCGTCAGTGCCCGACTGGTCAGGGGAGGTCTGGGCGGAGGCCGGGAGGTCAAAGTTATAGAAGCTGCTGCTCCCGTCGGGGGTCAGGGGAAAGTCAAAGAGCAGCCCGTCCGAGAAGCTGCTGATCTCGTCCAGGTCGGCTAAGCCACTGCTCACACTGTTACTGTAGACTCTGGTCAGGGCCTCAGGAGCCTCCTGGCTGCTCAGCTGCTCCTGGTGTTGCTGGTGTCTCTGCACCTCCGCGTACAGGCTGTCCCTCTGCTTCTTAGACATGCGGCCAAACTTGACGGCTGTGTGTGTGTGTTTGGGTGGGGGGGGTGGGCGGGGAGCGGGAGATGGGGAGGGGGCAGCAGGAAGGGGGAGAAGGTGGTGGGGTGGAGAAAAGCAACGTCAATAGTCTCGCCACCACTCACTCGGTCACCGTCTGTTCTCGCTTCAACACGGGACACGCTACCCCCACCGCGGCAGAGCCTCCGTCAACAACAGGCCCGTCTGCCACACTCTCCTCTTTGACCGCACCTTGGGTCATCCTCCCACCGTCCCTGCCTTCTACCCCTCTCGCTGATCCCAACCCCCAGCTCAAGTGCAAACCCTTCACTGTCCAGAGTCTTAGGACATCCTCCTGACATGAAAAGCGCTGTGGGAATGTAATTTGTTGTTGTCGCCTGTCCCCCGACACTGGACCCCAGGCTTGTGTTCTCTGCTCCTGGTGTAATCAATGACCGAGTCAGTCACATGCGATCTGGTCCCGTTTGATGGCGCTGAGGGTTTAAGCGTGTGTCTTGTGGGCCCGGCCAGGCGCAGTGGGGTGGGGGGGGCAGGCTGTGCTCTCTCACCATCGCGGGACATGCCGAGGGTCAGGCACTTCTGCAGCCGGCAGTACTGGCAGCGATTGCGGTTGGTGCGGTCGATCAGGCAGTTGCGTTGCCTGGGGCAGGAGTAGCTGGCGTTGTTCTGCTGACTCCTCCTGAAGAAACCCTAGGGGAGAGGGAGGGAGGGAGGGAGGGAGGGAAACTGCAGTTACACCTGGAACACGGGAGTCGTTTGAAAACCGTCACCCATTCCCCGGTGGGAATGTATTAATAATAACAATCCCTGTATTTTATACAGCGCCCAATCACGTCTTCCAGACGGGTTTAATTTAAAAACAGCCACAGATGTGGTTCTCGCGCCGCAGTGAGCGGACGGTGTCAGTAGGAGGCGCTCTACACCGGGTTTTATAGCGGTTCCCGATTGGTCGGGGGTGACGGAGCGATCTCAGAAACTTCAAAGATAAACGTCAGATGTCAAGTCATCAAAAACCCGATCGCTCCCGAATTGTACAAATCAATTTCACTTCATTACGCTATCAAAATACATCAAAATAACACAGCACAGACGTGCTTTGAGGACCCGTCTCGGTGGAGGTTTAACCACAAAGACTGGAATGAGCTCAAAGCCTCTGTCGATGGTTACATAAAACAAGGCCAAGCCTTACACAAGTGTCCTCATCAGGAGACCTCAGCAGAAGCCGGGGATAAGGGAGTGGGGAAGAGGAGAGGAGAGATGAACTTCAGGAGGACTTGTCTTCAGTCCTTCACCAACGCCTCTGAACAATATCTTCTCCCTCTCTCTGGGACTGCATTCCCTCAAAAGCTGGGCCAGAAGGGGAACCAACACCATGGTATTTCCCATCTCGGTCACAGTCACACTGAGGATAATCCCAGGCCAGACCATGGGAACATTTATCTCACATGGCTCCATGCTCTGGGCTGGTCTCAAGCGAAAGAGAAATAGACTGAAATTAAAGCACAGATTGAAGCGAAGAGGAAATGCTTCTTTGCTCCTCTGCTCTTTCACTTACTTTGCAACCTTCACAAGTGATGACTCCATAGTGGATCCCTGAGGACTTGTCTCCACAGATTTTGCAAGGAATGACTTCTATTTGGGCTGAAACAAGAGAAACAAAGCACTGATTATAGACACCGATATCAAAATCCAACGGGTATTCCCATTTGCTACACTCAGGCTCCGGGAAAAGTAAACACTAAAGACAGACAATCTTCCTTTAATCCAAATATAGACTGGAAAAAATCAGCGAAGTAGCGGATCCAACCAGCAGAGAGTGACTGGAACCCACAAAGCTTGGCTAAGACTAGACCTTCTTGTCCCAGGCATGGGATCTGTAGTGTGTACAATTACCGTGGCTTGTTTGTTCACTTTACAGAACCTTTCAAACATTCTAGTAAAGAGCGCTTTGTGCTGAGTACAAACATGTCTTGTAGGTCACTGAGGCAATGTGTGACACACACAGTAACACGCCCTCGACCCCTGTACTTCCTACGCTGGTTCTGCATTCTCACCAGCCTGTACGCATGTAAACTAAACCCATTACATAACAAAATCACAATCTCCTCGCTCACAAGAGCTTAACCTCTGTCGAACGCCGAGTGGTGAAACTAACTGCAAACTTCTGCTCCCTGTGATCAACCATCACGAGACATGTTACAGCGACACTGACGCACTGAAGGAGTTAAGAAGACTTGTTCTCCCCCGCTCCCTCTCCGCCGCCCGACCCCACCGCACAGAGGACGTCAGCTGGCAAACACACAGTCACTCCACTTTACATTATAGCCTGTGAAGCGCCTTGAGATGTCTCAACGAGGTGATATTAATATATGAAGCTGTAACAGCCCCAGAACGGCTGACTGCAGGTCGTGTCCCAGCAATGAGTAACTTTCTCTCCACACATCACCTGGTGTGAGCGTCACTGAGACAGTCAGTACGCTGGGAATTCTGCTTCCAATAGAAAATGGATTTCAAATCAACAACAACAACTTGTACTTATGTCGCGGCCTTCACGTCCAGTAGTGTCTTGGAGCCCTTAACAGTGATGAAGCGCGATGCTGAGCCGGGGGGAGGGAAAGAGAGAGGTGACCGTAGTCAAGATGGGGAAGGAGGATGCTCACTATTAAATCCATGTGGATTGACATCAGTAACAGCATTAACATGGAGAGTGAATGTCTGAAAGCTCACTCATCTCCTCCAGAATATTGCTGCAGTTTACAAGCTGCCTTGGTGGAGCTTTAGAGGGTATTACAGGAAACGCTAAGCCATCTTTACTGAGATCAGGTCAGACACAGGATCGACCTCAGCACTTGGACACATATTATTCTCTATGCCATTGCGGCCATCGTTACACACACGCACACACACACACACACACACGCAAACATACATACACACGGCAGGAATACTGCTGGAAAAAATTCCTCTACAGAAAAGTGATAACGCGTGAGTAACAATTACTTCCAACAGTAATTATTTGGTGAGTAACAATATAAGTGCACACTCAGTGTAAACACCTGTTAGGCACAGGTTGGCAAGAGCCTTAGATCTTAAGCATAGTGCTGGGTTTCCAGATGTGTCAGACACACGACTGGCCAAAATAACTCACCGTAAACAGGAGTAACTCTCTGGGTTACTGTAGTACACGCACTGTATAACACAAGAAGCAGCCTTCATTGTAACAAACGTTCGCACTATTACATTTAAATCATTCGAATTTCCTTTTCAATGTACGAGCATTAAACCGCTCTCCTGACACTCACTGCACAGTGGGCGCAGGATTTATACTAATAGGATATAAACGGAGCTCTCCATTCAGTTCAATCCCCATCGCTCAGCTACCAAGGCACAGGCACCACCACCATCACCACCACAACAACTTGCATTGCTGTAGTTCCCTGAAGGTGGAGTAGCGACCTGGAGCACAGACACATCCACAAACGTTGCAGCGATGGGGAACCGAGTCCTGGCTGATGTTCTCTCCCCAAGACTGATAGTTGGGCCCCGTCCCATATTACAACAACAACAACAAAATTACATTTGATTATATAGGGAAAGGCTTCCACCTATTGCTAGCCTTCCAGACCATTTGGTCTGAGAAACGTCGAAAAAGGCGCAGAAATGTGGACGACGTTTCAATGAGGTCTTCATTTTGGAAGCCGCCTTTCGCTGTTTCTTAAGACAGAAATGAAGAACAAATTGGAGACTTTTCCAATAATTTGTTGTTGTTTTTTTCAAAAAAAAATAAAATAAAAACGGTTTGTCCGGCTGAGACCGTGTAGAATGTCAGGGTCTCTGGTTTCCTGTAGAAAAATGGCAGACATCGACAAGGCTGTCAATATGAAAGTGTTTTGTTTGTTACCCACATTATGTAAGACAGACTAATGGCAGGGCAGCTTGGCTCACACCACACTGCAAAACTAGTCAACTAATAATAATAATAATCCTTGCAGTTGATACAGCGCCTTATCACGTCTTCGAGGCGCCTCAAAGGGCTTCACAAGAAGTTATACTGCAAAGCGAATTCATTGTATATTTTTGGGGCCAAAACTAGAGTTAAAGCAGCACGTTACTCTGTGAAACAAGAGCTCCCGTCACCTTTTTTTTTAAAAAACAGAAACCAGGATTACTGTCGGCCGGCCAGCCGGTTACCGTTTGCGCGCTCAGAGCCCATTTTCCTCAGAAGACGAGGATATGAGGAAATGTGTATCCCGAGAGAGCGAGAGAGCGAAATTTACATTCACTGCAACCAAAAAAAACACAAAGTTGCCCGGACTCACATGCGTTCATCACTGGAGGAAACAGTGCAGTAACAAGGCATTGGTGGTTCTCTATTGTTTCTGACAACCTCTCACCTTCCTTGATGAGCAGAACCGCAGTGCGATTACAAAAGTGCTGTGGTAAGCGCTTCCTTCAACATATCAACAAAGTTGCAGTCAAATTAATAAACCTCTTTGCTGGCTCGGATACACAGACCACAGCCCTGTCGCTTTGAAGTAATTTCACTGTTACACAAGTTGGAAGTGCTGACAGTCCTCTCCCTTCAGCCCTAGAGCCTGAGCTTCAATTTGGCCCATTCTGGTCAGGTCAATGATTCCCTCTCCATGCAGCGTAAGGAGGAATTGTCGGGCTCTATTCTCCCCTCCCCCTCCCCCACCCTCCTCCCGAGGAGAAGAGAGCGAGAAAGAGAGAGAAAAAAAATGATTGGGTTGAAATTGGGAATGTCGCTGAGCGTGACTGCAGGGAAGACCGATGTAGAACATGGAGTCATTAAGGTGCAGCGCTGGAGGAGGAAAGGGAGATTTAATCTGAATTTCACCCTAGTTCTGCAAAGTGAAATGTGAAACCGTGTTTCATTACCCAGAACTGAGAGCCGTCAATTCTTCTAAAAACTCAACCACTTACGTGGCTCAGTGAGAGGCTGAATGAATCATTAAAGGGATCTATACCTGCAGAACTCGCTGTAACTCAAGAGTAAATTGGCCATTCATCCTCGTGGCTGTTTGTGGGACGTCGCTGTGTGCTAAACGGTTGTCACGACAATTTGAGATGTTTGAGATGCTGAGTTTTCTCTTACTAGTGAATATTTCTCTTTTCCAGGTCTGCGAAGAAACCGCACCCAGCCAGTCGCCTCTCGAGCAGAACCAGAAAGACATCACTCGACTTACGAGAATATCCTTCAAGGACACAATGTACAATTACTGAGCCTTTCCTTGAATACACGACTCTCTCACCCCCGCTCACACTCACTCACTTGCTCACTAAAAAGATGGCCAAAGCCTTGAGAGACGCTCGCTCATTCCATCGCCAGACCCTGAATCCAATTCGTTACGTTTGGAATTTGGAAAAGTCATGAGGAACTGAAGCAATCAAAGCAAGACAGTGGCCTAACGTGTGTTACAGCCACAGCACACGGCACTGCAGGAACCCACGGCACTGCAGGAACCCACGGCACTGCAGGAACCCACGGCACTGCAGGAACCCACGGCACTGCAGGAACCCACGGCACTGCAGGAACCCACGGCACTGCAGGAACCCACGGCACTGCAGGAACCCACGGCACTGCAGGAACCCACGGCACTGCAGTAACCCACGGCACTGCAGGAACCCACGGCACTGCAGGAACCCACGGCACTGCAGGAACCCACGGCACGCAGCGCTGCAGGACCTCAATGAATAAAGTTGGTTGATAAAAAAGTTGAAAATAAGGTTGAAAAATTAATGCTGTTTTGTTGAGAAACAAAGGAATAAACTTGTATTTTAAGAGCAAAACGCCACTGACTGTGAGGGTGGCTTTCGCTCCATGTCAGGCTCTCTGAATGTAATTGATGAGAAAAGCAATTCCCAGAAGGCAGCAAACTCTCAGGAGCTAACGGACTCAGAACCTCACTCTGTGTAAACCTGTCAGAGAAAGTCTCGTCTCAATCGCAGTTTGCAGCTGGAGCAGAGGGTGATCACAGTATAACTGCCCCAGTGGGGCTGCTCAGACTTCAGGGTTCACTGCTAGAGAGAGAGAGGCGCTTGATTCACCGTGCTTTGTTTAACCAGGAAACTACCATGTCCTGTGAGAACCAATGGGCACTGACCTGGGCTGGGGTGTGTTCGGCTGGGATCACACAGGCCATTAGGAGGGAAATGGAATGTGTAGCCAGATGTTCGCTGTTATATAAGGACTTGCCAGAGGCTGTGCTGTTACAGTGTGGACCGAGATAGAGATATGCAGTGCTGTGGAACCGTGTGCTCTCGTTTTCAAGTCTAAGAATCCCTTCGAACCAATAAATAAATTGGTCGCTCAATCCACGACTGTGTGTGGGGCACTGCTGTGCGCAATTGGCTGCCGCGTTTCGCCCACAAAACATACAGTCAATTCAAATCTCGACCCTTCGCTTGCCTCCTTCAAGGTCCATCTCAAGACCTTCCTCTTCGACCGTACCTTTGGTCATGGGGTGTGTCAGCCTGGCTCAGTTGGTAGCTGTGACTGAGACAGGCTTCGCAGGGGGAGGCATTGTGTTAAACCATCTCGTTTCCGAAGAGAGTTTGACCTCATCTGAGACCATCTCAAAGGCGCTCTACAAATGTAATTCTGTATTGTATTGTATCGG